ATGTGTAATATCATTGGAGTTAGCTAAAAACATTTAATATTTCTGCGAGAAAAATTATTTTTGTCATAATGAAGAATTGCACCTCCCCCAAAAAAAAATTAAATTCCCATTATTAATTAAAGTTTTTAAATTTATGAACTTAGCTTGGGTTTGTTTTATTTTGACAATGAAATATAAGAAACTCTAATGAATATATATACAAATTTTTCTATTTTATACATATATTTTATGTGAAATTTGTTTTTCAAATTATCAATATTATGCTTTTTTAAAAAATTATTATGATCGTTTTTTTATCGTAACTATAGAAAATCATTTATAAGATACATAAACTAAAAGATACATTTAACTTATGAAATAAAAGATAATTACTAATTTATGAAGATGTAGAACAAAAATATACAGTTACAAGAAAGTGTATCCTTTAATAAGATCAATAAATATTTATAAAGTTAAAATGGATGTAGAAAAAAATGTCATAGAAGTTATAAACTTATTATCTTAAAATAAATAGACCAACGTTGTGGAAAAAAATAGCTTTTTATTTAATAAAGTAATTAATTTAGCATATGAAAGGCAAAATATTACTACTAAAGTTGAAAAAAAAGATTGTAACGACAGTTACACAATTGCTGAAAAAAGAATTAATAATTTTTCCAGTAGAAGGCAGTATTAATGTTTTTTCTAGTATCATTGTCAGAAACATTTCAGAAAAATGCTAGGAATCACATTACTATCATTTGGTTTGTCTGGAACTTTTTATGTTCTTATAAATGCCTTTTAATTTTTAAGGAGTGATGTATAAATGTTTTTATACGAATATAACTAGTAATATTTTTCTTTAATTTAACATTAATATGTTATATTATAGTTTATAATGTACAGAAGGAATATTATTTAATCACAAAATATCTTAATTAAATATTTAATTTTCAACAAATCCACTAAAAAGATACAATTATAAGGGTAAAATTTCATAACGACATATGTCTATAATTATGTTTTGTACGATAGTTCCCATGCTGCATTTAAAAAGGTTATATTTTAATATTTATACTTTATATTTATGAATCATTATGGTGTTTTCTTTTGAATATAAGCTTATTTTCACATAGTAAATTTTATCAAAAGTAATATTCACATATTATTCTTATTTTCATAACCATATGTAAAATTTTAACATATATTAACGAAAATGATTACATACAATTTATTTTTGTATATTTTGTGTTTTTATTCAATATGTGGCTTTTAATTAGTTTATTGCGCATGCAATTTTCCTATCAGTTTATATGTATATTTTAATTAGTACTTTGAACTAATAAAAATATTTTAAGTTAAATTTACGTTATGTAAAAACGGTGTACGTTATTTATTTTATATTGCAAAAGTATATATTTTTATGTTGTACTTATGTAACACTAAAAAAAATATTTATAATACATCCACTACATTGTCTAAATATTGTTTTGAGTATTCTTATGTTCATTTAACTAGATTCATTTTTATTGAGTAGAATATAACATAAATGTAGTTATATGTTGTTATTTTAAATGAATATATATTAAATAAAATATATATTTCTTTAGATTTAATATATGTTTATCAGTGTCGTTTGGGAAATCCATAGTGTAAGCATATATTAATAATATTGCCATTTTGATTACGCCGTTTTTATAAACTCTAATATTATATATTTTAATTATTAAGCAGTAGCTCATAATATTGTACATGAACAGAAAAAATGCATAATTAGGATTACTTTAGTGAAGTAAAAATTATCTTTTATATCATAGTATTGTATAAATAAAAAACGAATATCACAAGTTTCAATTAATATATTAAGTTTGTTGTAATCAAAAAATAATTTAATTTTAATAATTTTTTATCAAAAAAAAAAAAAAAATCGTATTGTTTTTCGTTTGTTAACACGTCTTTTTTATATAAATAATATAATTTTCTTTCACGACTATTTTCTACAATACATAACATTGTTAATATGCTGCATTTTTCTTCAAACAAATCTAAGTTACTATATATTAATATATATATAATGATATAAATATACTCAAAGGAAAACAATATTACAATTACTCAGTTATTTTACATATCAATCAAGGGGGAAAAAATTTTTTAATTCATACGTCTATATAATAAAGAAAATAGAATAAGCACCTAGATACTAAGCCACGGTTCATTGGATATAATATAAGTAATTCATGGCATATTTTATTAATAAATTATAATATAAAAAATATAAATATGAATGTATAAAAGTCTTCTTGAAATAAAAGACTTATTTGTTTTGGAAAATTTCTGCTATATATGCATATATATACTATAAAATAATCAATTTACCATATTAATAACTATATTTTATAGTGATAATTTTTTCAGGGTTTGAACATTTTTTTCTTTATCACTTAACATGCGATTCTATCAAATTGAAGCTAATTTAATTCACCGTGATAAAAATTATAAATATTATTGCAAGTATACTTATACTACATAATCAACATTAAATGTACTGTGAAAACTTCTCACTTTATAGAAATCAGATATTCGCAATAAAGGCTGTTTTAATTGTCATAATGCAACAATACGAATGTAACATACATATCACGGCACGCATTTACTATTAGAAATAACTTATTATTATTATATTTAATATATATTCTATTTGAAATATTGTTTTCTTTTAAAAAAATGTTAACACTCAACAATAATTTTCCTATTATTGTACAATGTGAAATTCTCTGAAAATGTTAAGACTAAATATAAATCCCCATTGAATATCCCTGTATTAAAATTATTTTGTGAAGTGACATGAATTTTTTAAAAATAATATAACATATGTAAATTATTAGCCATTACTGTAGTAAACAAACTTAGGAAAATATAAATGTAACACATTTTCTATGTTATATATGATACTTATATATATACATCCTATGGAATAAGGTATATAACGATATGTATTAACTAATCACCAATCCGTTAACACGCTTGTCTAATTATAATAGCAAAAAAAAAAATCATAATAATAAATAAGACTAATTTAAGTCTAGTTATGGATATGTTAAAAATCTTTTAAAAGTGTTATTAACCACAAGGCGCAGATATTTTATTCAGTCCTATGCTGTTGCATGGATTATCAAGGTTTTGTGAGGCTTAAATAATATAAAATAAATTTTTTTTAATATTTACGAGTACCTTGTTTAATATATTATGTTAAATGTTGGATGCATGTAAATTTTATTAGGAAAATTTTAGCAAATATATGAATATCTAAATATACACTACAGTAAACTAAAATAAAAAATATTTTTTTTATTGTAAAAAATATTTTAATTGTCGTAGTAGCATATATTATCTTTAATATTAACTATTACTTTATATATTTCTAAATGAAGCCCAGATTAAAAATTCTAGTAAATAAAACAAATAGATAATTCGTAGTGTGGAAAGAATATATTGAGATTGTGTTCAATTTTTAATCACATTTATTTTTCCTGTATAAAAATTATGAGATGATAGATGTTATTAGGGAAAAAAAAATCTTATTGTTTAATGAGTTTATTATATTTTTGACACAGAACATATAAAATGAGAAATTCATTAATTATAAATTAATTAATGAGATGATGTAATTTTCTATAGCGCTGTATTATTTTATATTTATTTTTTATTTATTTAAAAAATCATCAAACATATTAAATTATGTTTAAAGGAAAAAAAAAAATCATTCAGCTATTATAACATTTACAAGATATTTGAAATATAATATTTTACATAAAATGGAAATAAAAATTAATTTATATTTTATTTGTTTCTTGAATTATAGCGTCATTATTTACAAAAAGATGTTCATAAATAAAAGGTATGAATAAAATGATCAGTATGTGGTCTGTTGCTATTGTTTCATTAGGTAATGAAAGTAAAATATGTATTATAAATAACTACATATAATTAAATGCTTAATATATAAGAACAGTATGTATACAAGTTAATTTTATGTTCATTTCCATTTTATGTGTTTCAAAATTTGATTATAATTATTTTTATTATTTTTCTACTAATTTGAATAATTTTTTTTAATATTTAATTTTGATTTTTTTCCATCAAAAATATTTTGTAACATTTCATTGTCTTATTTTATTTTTATGTATTTAAATATAATGTGATGTTTTTATTTATCTATGTGTTCAGTGTTCTTTAAAAAGAAAAAAAAAAATAGTACTCTTCCCCTATATTAAAGCAATATAATATGTTCTTACCATTTATTAAAAAATATAAGAGACATTTATAAAAATATAAAATTAACACCATAATTAATTTTCAATTTCAATTGATTTATCATTTAATTTAAACAACGTATATTTCTTATATCGTATTATTTTTTAATAAAATATATTTTTTATACGTTTTAACAAGTCTAAATTTGCACGCATTCCAAAATTATTTCTAATATGCTTCTATGTAATATTATAAAAAACAAAGAAAATTTGTAAATTTTATTATTGTCTATAGAATCTAAATTATTATGTATATGAAAGATGGAAAAAAAAATTATTATCTCTTCTGCAACCATTATAGAGATAACCATAAACAGTATTATTCTATGTAAGAACTATTATTAAAAAAAATGATAGAATAATTTGCATAATATGCGTATATTTTAAAAATTTTATTTTCTATATTATAAAATTTTATGATAAAAATATAAAGCACACATGGATATATCTAAATTTTATTATAATATACTACAATATGCCTTCGTTTATACATATTATTAAAAAAGCATATATATCGTACTTTTTTTGTAATTATAAAGACTTATCATAATATGTATCGTATTAATATGATTTAGACATAAAAGAAGATAATTGATATATTTTTTCTGAATTAATTTAGAAAAAAATACAATATGATACATCAATCGATTATTCTAGGTTTTTTCTATTGATAATTTAAAAAAAAAAACTTGTCATTTAATAATAATGAGTAAAAATGATGAAGCGTTTGATTTTGATGGATTTATAAAAAAACTTTGTTCTGTGGTATTATTAATATGAAATTTTTAAAATTTTTATTTTTGTAAATTATTTTTTTCGCATAATGATAATTTTTTTACTGGGAAAATAAATACATAACAAACTATAATATTATTTATATTCATAGAGTACAAAACTGAAGAATTCAGAATTACATAAATTCTATTCGTCAATAGATCATATAGAAGTAAAAAAGGATCTTACTTCTGAAATATGCACTAGAGAAAGCAGTGAAGATTTATCTAATCTTTGTCACCATGTTAAGAGTATAATTAATCAGTGGAAAAAATTTTGTTCATACACAGAACAAAAGCAAGGTAAATGTTGTGATTACTTAAATTATTGGTTGTATGGCAAGATAGCCGAAAAGAATCTATCATTTCCTGATCTTGCTTGGATTTACAATGAAATAAATACAATTTTATATAAATATCATTCAAAATCTAAGGATGAATATTTATGCAAAAATAAAATTAAAATAATCACGTCTAAGGATGAATTAAAAAAAAAAAAAGTGTTATATGATTTTTTAGAATATTATGATAGTATAAAAGGTGTATTATCAAATAATAAAGAAGTTAAAGAGCTAGTTTGTACATATGTATCGTATGTTCTTAGTTTATATAACAAATTAGAGGAAGATAGAAAAAGTGGATTCTTACACAGATATAACAATGAATTAGAACAATTTAGAAAAATATTTAATGACGAATATATTTTATCTTTATTAAATGAAAATTGTAATATTTCTGAATCATTTATTAGAACTCTCAAAAGTGCTAAAAACCTAAAATCATTACACGGAAATTATGGAGAACATAATGCAATACGAAATAAATTATCAGATTATGTAGAATATAAGCCCGAATTTAAAAATGGATATGTTCGTTATTTTATTTAATAATACAATTTTTAATAATACATTTTTTTAGTTTCTCATTTTCTTTGAATTAAAATAAATAATTTGTATAATATTATATTTTTTTCCTCAGGAGAGTGTCCTGAAAATGTTGCCTTCTTCTGAAATATATAAGCAGTTAAACAATGAAGTTACAGAGGAATTAGGCAAAAATATTCTTGATATTAAGGGCAAAAATTATGATTACACTTATTGCAATAGTTTAAACGGCGAAATGAGACCTATTTGTAAAAAGCTTGTAAGGAATTTACATAAATTACAAAACATTGATAATCTGGACAAGGAAAATCATAGGGATCGCTGTACATATTTAAATTTTTGGATGTATGATGAATTCAGTAAGGTATATAAAAATACAGATGAAAATATTTTAGACGTCCCTGATGTTGCTGATCTTATTGCTGCAAACATAAAAATTAATAATTATTTAATTAAAGAAGATCTTAATAAAAATTATCATCTAAGAGTTCGGGAACCTCGCCCACGGAAAAATGGACAAATAACCAATCAAACAGCAGGCAATGTCCATGTAACTCAAGTATTATCAGACATAGAAGCACCTCAAGCATTACCCGAAGATAAAACACATCCAGAATTTAAGAGAAATAAAGATTCTCGAGAAAGCATGCGACCGGGCCATGCTATGGAAGAATTAGATCCAGAGTTAACAACATATTATTATAAAAAGGAACAAGAAGATTCCAAGCCAGTTAATGTTGTTAGTTATAAAGAATTAACTGAATATGAACCATGCTTTTTCAATTATAATTGTAGGTTCAAAGAATGTGCAGAGATGAAACATTTATATGAATATTTTAAAAATCATGAAGAAATTAAAAACAAAATTAATTGTGAAAATATTCAAAATAATGAATATATTTCATATCTTAAATATATGAGTTTGTTGCATAAAAATCACAAAAATGAATGCTGTTCCTGGGGTGCAGAATTATGTCCCAGTTATTTTTTACGTTGTGACGAGTCATATGATCCACAAAAATTTTTATCTGCGCTAAAATCAGGCGATAAAAATAAATGTGAGGAAATAATGCAATTAATTAAACATAACAAATCTGATGATGTATTTAATGTTAATCCAAATTCAGAAGAAAATATGTTTATTAAATATTTCACGTGTTCAGAAGTTACTAATTCTAATTTTGAAAAAAGTGGCTTAAGATGCCAGCAGCCCTCGTACAGTTCACACTTAAATAATCAGCATTATCCCGTAAGACCTATAAATAAACGGCAATCCAATGAAGGACTATACGGCAAAAAGATAACAATTAATGGAAAATCAATAAATGTAGTTCTATTAACGGATCCATATGCAAAAATAACCGGGAAAAACCTTACAGACACATCAACAGTTAAAAATGGTTATACGCTGTTTCCAGAAGTACAAGGACTAGCTCGTAAAAGCTACATCAAAGAAGCAGAAACAGCCTGTGAAAATGAAAGACCAAAAAAAGGAATGGAAGAATATTGTAAAAGATCGAAAACTTATAACAACCAAACAAGATCAGCGCATTTTCAATTTAAAAATATTATACAAGGAAATGGTGTAAAAATCTTGGGAGAGAACACTATTCCTATTGATATTTCATTTACAAATTCAGTATTACAAAATTTTTTTTTTCGAATCGGAGTAATAATCCTTATAGCACTGGGTGCAATTTTCGTATTCATCCTTTATTATAAGGTATAATAAAATTAATCTTTAAATGTAAATATTCTATATCAATATTTTTAAGAAATTTCTCTCATAATGAAAAATTAATGTAATTACAAATGCTTTTGCCTTATTTATTTGTATATTAGTTTACTCCATTTGGATCATGGTTACGTTATAGAATAAAAGGTGGAAGAAGGAAAAAAAAGAATATTCATTATAGAGAACTTAGAGAAGAATCATCAAATTACGTTATAGACTATATGCGTGAACATCCTCCAAAGAAAAGAATAAATATAGTTTACCAGAATTAGTAGAAACTTTTACTGTCAGCTCCTCTCATAGTTTATTATTGTTAACATCAGCTTTATTAAGTGCTTAATATTAAAAAGATTTATAAAAAAAAACTCGATTTAAGTAGGCAAAAAAATAGGAAAAAAAGAAACTTTTATTAATTAATATAGAGTATTAAGTGTTAATAACACAATAACCCCCCCAGAAATTATAAAATGTTGTGGAATAATATAAATCAGTGTAATAACTATAATTTTATCTTAAATTTTTTCATTTTAATTGATAAGAAAACTATTGTCATATATAAAAGTATGCCTATTCACAAATAGATGGTTATGATCACAAAGTGTAATGAGAAAATTAATTTTTCATGTATAGTGCATTATATAACTCCTTTAAGAAGTATTTCATTTAAATATATTTACATATTTATCTATCTTAAAGAAAATAACCTTTAAATTTTATTATGATTTGTATGTGTATTATTGAATGCGATTACTCTTTAGCATTTTTTCTTTTCTTTCTTTTTTTTTTTGTTGCTTTAAAAAATTTTTTACTGTTAATTATTTAACTACAAATTTGAACCAAAATTTTTTTTAAGTAAATTATATTGTAAATTTTAAATTACTTATATTAACACATAAATAAGTAATAAATCATTATAAATTAACATAGGAAGAGTATGTTATAATAATGTAATGTCTAAATTATATTTTAAATGTTATAGGTTTTCTTTAATCAATAAGAACGAACCATTCATATACTTTCACATAATGTTTATATAAAATGAATCGTAACTTTATTAATAGTAAGTGAACTCAATAATCCTATGCATAGAAAAAGTACACACATTTTACCATTATGAATGACTAATATATGTTCATAGTTGTAAAACTATATGTTTTCCCCATCGGCTAGTAAATTATCATAAAAAAAAAAAAAAAATATTTATATCTAATATATATATTTACTTTATCATGCTTTAATAGCACTTATTAAAAGTGGACTATTTGTATAATGTGCTTCTTTCATTTTTCATGGATTATTTTATAATTTTTTAACATACAAAAGAATTATCTAAATTTAAGGAATATGTTGCAAGAATATTTATATTTACATCGTAGTTTCATAAAGTTATTAAATTATTATGATGTTTTTTATCTATAATATTCATTCTTAAGAACATCAATTAATTTTTAAGTTACTGCATAGAGTAAACACACCTAATGATGCCAGAAATATTTTCGATATTTTTTTTCACAAAATTCCGCATAGACCTATATATTAAATAGAACAATAATACACCACAGCACAGTGTAAATTTTAGAGAATAAATTTATAAACCCACCAACATGTTACATTTTTTTTGTGCTTTTGTCGCAGTCCAATTGAATAAAGACAATAAGTTAATATTTATGAAATGACAACAAAATTAAAAACTATATATAAAACAGTTGTGTTTAATCTTTTTAAATATACCTATATTACAATAATTGAATTGATCACACCTTTTCTAATGTATTCATTTTTGTATTAATCTATAAAAACAGAAAACCTATTAAATTTAATTGATTTTCTATTTAATTCAACTAAAGAGATAAATATTTCTTATTAAAATGTATTTATCTGTGCTTTTAAAGCGATTTCGTAAATATAGGAAAAAGAAATATTCTAATGTTTGTATAGGAATATCAAAACTTCAGTAATAAATAATTATCCTAAGGTAAAATTAAGATCTATGATCTATTCACTCTTATATTTTGCTCTTTATAAAAGAGAATTTATATCAATTACAAGCATTTCGAAGATAATGAAAAAATATTGAAAATATATATTATCTTAAGAGTCTTACTTAAAATACCGTACAGCTTCTTCCTATTTATAAAAAGTAAATATACACTATTATAAATAACATTTTCGAACATACAAAGTATACACAGTATTAGTTTTATGTCATGTGTGTGATGCATCTATATTTTTATTATCCTCAAAAATGCAGAAGCATTTCTGGTATATGCATCTTTTCAAATTTGAATTATGTATAATACAGTTTTAAAATAATTATAAAAGTGTATATATTACTTAAAAATTTGAGAAATTTATTTTTTCCTAACAATGTTGCGTTTTTTTTTTCTGTTAAATATAATTATATTTTATATAATTTTTTCCTTAATAATTTTTTTTTTGATATATTAGCATCACTTTAATATTATTAAATGCAGAAATGTATATAAATACTTTTGGCAAAAAATGATTTATCCATTTTGAAGCCTATTTGTAGGCTTTTAAACAATCTATTTGTGGTTTTTATTACTTTATATATGCCACAACGTGCATACGATTTCAGACTGAATTATTTCACTTAATTCATGTATGTTATAGCAAAATGGTAGCTGGATATGAAGAATGGGTTTGATTTGATTTTATTTTGAAACTATTATATACGTATATGTAAACCCGTTGGATTATTCTATTTCTTTCGAAGAGCAATAGAAATATTATCAGAAATTATTTTTTCTGCTATCTAATATTGACATACGTTTTCAATTTATAGGATAGTTTATTACAGGAGTTCAACTCGTAAGAAGTATGCAATGATTTTAATAAAAATGTAGAATGTACTGATTTTGATAGAACGTGTAATGAAATAGCACCTGAAAATCAAGTTGAGAACGATTTATGTATACTTTGCAAAGAATTTGTAGGAAATTTTAAAACTATAGCTCAAAAAATATCGCAGTGTTTTAATGATGTTTGTACATATTTTCTTCTCTAGTTATATAAAGAAGTATGGAAAATGTCTAGAAAACCAAGTACAAAAAATATGTATCTGGTGTTATGCATATATTAAAAAAAGTAACGGATCATCTTTGTAGAGGACAATTTCAGTATTGCGTTTGTTCCTATTTTATTCAAGAAGATAACTTAAAATTTTTGAAAGAATAAATGTTATTATATGGTTATTTTCAAAATTATAATAATATAGAAAATAAAATTGATTTTGTAAATGCAGAAACAAATTATATACTCAGTACCTTAATAACATTAATAAACTCTATAAAAAATATATAGATGAAGAATCCTGATGTGATGGCTGGGGATATTTAATGCCTACTTTAAATGTGGGAACACTTACAAACCACAAAACGCATTGTCTAAAATAACTCCTTTACAAAATCAAGCAAGTGAAAGAAAACTATTAGATAGTATTCTCAAAACCACTAACGAATTATCTGATTCTACGTGTTTCTCATTATTAACTAGTATACAACAGACATCATCTACCGAACAAGAAATAGAAACCAGTGATATTTATTTCGATCGAAATTCGCTTTGTTGAAAACCTACACCAGGAGATCCATCACAAAGAAACTGTCAAGAAACACATGTGTCTAATATAGCAAGTGCTGCACAAGCCAGTGACCAAATACCCTTTGGAACATATTATATTGGAGGGGGAAGTATGTTGATAATTTTAATGCACGAGATTTCTCTCATATTATATTACCTACACATGATAATAATATTTGTAACACTATATCAGGAGAGTTTAATATATTAAATAACAAGTTTATACGAGTTCCTACAATAGTTCTTTTAATAATTGGAATAATGTCCATTTTCTTCTGTTATTATAATGTAAAAATTATTTTCATATAATTACATAAATAATTCATGCTAATGCATGCAGTGTTATACACGTGTTATATATTTACCATATCCATATTAGCTTACCCCCTCCTGATATTATATGTGCAATATGAGAAGTAGACGGAAAAAATATAACCACAAAATAAATAAAAAATATATGCGTAAATTTTCATCCCATGATTTAGAAGAGGTTTTGATAAATTCTAAAGTAAGTCTAGTTCATTTCGCTTACACTTCCATATGAGATTTTCGTGTTTGAATGTTATCTGTGATGACATTATATTCATTACTAGGTTGATAAGTATAATACATTCTGCTTATTATAAAGAAAAGTTTTTATTAATATACATAAAAGAAGAAAAAAGGAAACATAAAATTGATGAACATAAAATTTAAATTAAATCTCAAAATAAATAATAAATGGAACCCCTTGTTTAGTTTCATTTTATGTATGTCTTGCCACAGCATCTGATAGATCAAAAAAAACAAAATTATAAAAAAATAAACTTATATAAATTATATGCTCATATTTTAATATATTAAACTACAAACATTAATATGCTAGAAGGAAAGAAGTTTAGACGAAACTTAAAAAATACTGAATATGCACATTTATAAGATTAAATATTATCATTACAATTATAATCATGCAGATTAATGAAATATAATTAAATAAGTAAAATAATGTAAAAATATAAATAATTATTATAAAATGTTATAATCAATTTTAAAAAGTAACCAACAGAATTAAACAAAATTCAGAATTATTATGAACACTTTTTACAAGCTTTCCACAAATAATCTTATTAATGTATATAGAAAAAATTTAAAACATTTTTTGGAAAATTCAATTTATACCTTAAGATTTTTATAAATTAAATCGAATAATTATTTTAAAATTATTTATATTTTATAATTTTATTTCTGTTTCCCATTTTCCTTTCTTTTTCACATAATTAGATGTAATTTGATATGATATGATTTGACATGACTATATATGATTTTATATGATTTGACTTTTGTTTTTGTTTTTTTTTTTTATTTTTTTAATATATTTTAAATGATCTCATTTTATTTCTTTTAAATAACTTTGAATATTAAAGGAAAAAATATTTCTGCAAACATAATATATGCAATTAATATTTATGGGTTTACATTTTTCCCTAATGTAAACTTTAAATCAAATAATATCGTTGTATTGTTTATGTACCAATATATATGGGGGAAAAAATAATTTGTAATATTCTGTTGTTTACTGTGCAAAATAAATTAATTCGATGTTATAAATAATTGTGTAAAATATTTATTTTTTAATATAGTATATACATATATGAATTATATGTATATGTACTATACTCATAAATCTATG